GGGGTGGGGCCTGGGGGGCAGGAGGCGGGTCAGGGGGCAGGAGACGGGTCAAGGGGGCAGGGGGCAGGGGGCAGGGGACGTACTGAGGTCATTGCGGGTGCCCAGGATGATGATGACGGCGTCCTGCCCCCGCACAGCCCGGTCCACGGCGCTGGGGTCCAGCACGTCGCCCACCACCACGTGTGTCGGGCGCAGGTCCGGGGGCAGCCGCGCCGGGTCCCGCACCAGCACCGTCACCTGGTAGCCTGACGGGGGAGAGCGGGTGAGTGCGGCCCGGACACCTGGGTTCTCCCCCGGCTCTGGGGGGGGCTCCCGCTCCCGTGGCTCAGCGCCTGTCTCGCCTTTGTGCTGCCCATGCCAGCTCCGGGTCTCGGCTGGCACCCGGCCCAGGCAGTGGGGGCCGGGGTGGCTGGGTGCCCAGCTGCCTGTTGGCGCCTGCTGGGCCCAGCATGCTGCTGAGGTTGGGCCCTGGATTGGCCCCTGCTCCAGCTACGGGCTCACGCCCCCGGCCCCGGCACCGGGCCGGCTGGGGACACGTGACCGTGACTCAGCACCCTCCCAGCTGGGACCGTGACTCAGCAGAAGCCACCCTGGCGCGTGGGGACCTCAGTGGCCCTGGGCCAGCCCCTCTTGGCCAATGCCAGTGGGGTTTGTACAGCGCCTGGCACCCCCAGCCAGTGCCCTGCTCCAGACGACTGCACTGACCCGCCTTTTGGCCACCCAGTGCCAACCAGCCCCCGGGCGCCCCCAACCTGGTGGTGTCGGGGCCCCGATCCCAGTCGGGGTCTGGATGGCGCCGAGGCCCGATCCCCGAGCACCGCTGCTGGCGGGTCACGGTGGCACAGCGGGGAGGGGACCCAGGCGTCCGGGGGGCAACAGCAGAAGTATCTCCGCTGGACGTGCCCAGGGCAGGGCGTCCACCAGTAACGGCCTTGCTTATCTCCCCACGCCATGCGCCGTCCACACCCCCGTGGCGCAGGCTCGGGGGCTCCTGCAGCTACCCCTGGCGGGGCCTGGGGCATCGGGGGGCCCATCCAATGCCCCCTCCCTGCACCCCCTGGGGCTACGTCAGGGTGTCCCTCCGTCAGCTGCCCCCCTGGGGGTGCTCGGGGCTTCTGCCCAGGGGGCAGGGGCTCTTCTGCCCCGAGCGCCCCGGGGGTTGGCTCGGACCCCCTGCGCCGCCCGCCCTACCGGCCTGCAGGGCTTGCGCCAGCGTGGCCAGCCCTGTCATGCCCGTGGCCCCGAAGATGACGATGTTCTTGCAGGTGGCCATGCCGGCGGGGCGGGTGC